AAATTTTTTTTTTTTTACATTGGCCCTATTTTACATTTGAGCACCTGCCCCTGAGGAACTCTCTGCCCGTCCCTGCTGTGGATCACTTTCTGCATTCACATTGATAGTCGCCTCATAGCTGCTTGTTTGGATAAAGTTGAGTGTGTCTCTCGCTGTCATGATGTCATGAGAAATCGGGTCTCCATCATCTGTTAGTAAATATTTCTACTAAGTACACACAAAAGACATTAAAATATGTATATAGTTACTATATAGTGCATACTAAAACAAATTTGACTATATAATTTCTTGCACTAGATAAACTTAAAAAATGAATAATTAAACGTCATTCATTGTAATAACTGAAATTACATAATTACATTAAAGATAGTTGTGAATACATGCAGGGTAAGTGCAAATGTATATAAATTAAGCTAATCAGGCTAATTGAGTATCTGTATGCTATTCTAGTATGTAAACCAACTAAAACAGACATTGTCATGAATGGTATTTCTAGGAGAAATTTGTTTTTGTTTTTTTTAAGAAAAATTATTTTATATTTGCAACACTAAATGTGACCCTGGACCACAAAACCAGTCTTAAGTTGTACGGGTATGTTTGTAGCAATAGCCAAAAATACATTGTATGGGTCAAAATTATTGATTTTTCTTTTATGCCAAAAATCATTAGGATATTAAGTAAAGATCATGTTCCATGAAGATATTTTGTAAATGTCCTACTGTAAATAAATTAATTTAATTTTTGATTAGTAATGTGCATTGCTAAGAACTTAATTTGGACAACTTTAAAGGCGATTTTTTTGCACCCTCGGATTCCAGATTTTCAAATAGTTGTCTCGGCCAAATATCATCCTATCCTAACAAACCATACATCAATGGAAAGCTTATTTATTCAGCTTTCAGATGATATATAAATCTCAGTTTCGAAAAATTGACACTTATGACTGGTTTTGTGGTCCAAGGTCATATATTGCTTTGTTATATTCCCATGTTTTGAGAATATTGAAGCAATATGTGGACACAAAAATGATATTTGCTGTGGTCCCCCACGTACGTCTGTATAGAAGTTAACCCTGCTAAAATTTATTCCAAACTTTCCAAAACCAGAAATGTGAAAATGGTCCCTCACTGTCAGTATAAACCCCCGTTATGAACCGAAAGCTTGTTTGTATATCTCTGCGCAGCATGTTAGCTCCTTAAAAACTGCTCAAAATCTAAATGGGAAAAATTGGTCTATAAGACACCCCTCAAACATGCCCCATAGCCCTGAGGAGTGGAATATCACATCATTATGCAAATTTGACAAAAAAAATCATGTTCTTATCACAGATCGTGCTTGTGTTGTCATGTTTGTGGTTCGTGACAGATACAAGGGAGGAAGATGGCAGCTTCAGTCAAAGGCCAGTGAATCTGACTTTTGTCCCAGAGGAGACGGTACAGCCTGGGCCCAATTCCACCAGCCAAT